AAACACTGAAGTAGGGTTTCCTAAGAACTAATGAGAAGCTATTTGATGGCTTATCAACAATTCTTCAACCTATCCTCAGATACCATTTAGGGTCTCACAGTCGTGTGTGTGTGTGTGTGTGTGTGTGTGTGTGTGTAGGGTCCTCACAGTCGTGTGTGTGTGTGTGCGCGCGCGTGCTGGGATGGAGGATTGAACTCTGGGCTTCATACTCTTGCTCTATTCTTTCTGCTCATTGATAGTACTCTACCACTTGGACCGTGCCTTCAGTTCTGGCTTTTTTGTTGGTTAGAGATAACAATCTTATAGATTTATCTGTCTGTGCTGGCTCAGAACTGAGAGTCTCTTATCTCAGCCTCCTACCTAGCTAGGATTACAGGTGTGAGACACTGAACTTGGCTTCCTCATATTTTTAAAAGTACCATATTAACAAGCAAGGGTCATTGTTCTTGGAAATGTGCAGACGTGACATGGTTCAACTTTGCTTTTAACATTCTTTGCTGCTCTTTTTTTTTTAACGTTTTTGGGGGGCCATTCTTCTCAATGTTTTTCTAGACACTCTGGAAGTCGGTTTTCAGAAGTTCAATATTTCTAAACTCTTTAGAACATAATCAAAAGCCAAACTATAGGCTCTGAGACATTTCCACAAGTCTAGCTCTTCCTGACATGACATATACCCTGAAGGGGAAAAAGTCATGTTTGTTGTTGTTGTTGTTGTGTTTTGCTTTTCTGCTTTACTTCACTTACTTCTGTTGGTACTGGGAATTAAACTCAGGGCCTTGTACTTGTTAGGCAAGTGCTCCGTTACTTGAAATCATAATCCAGTCATTCTAATTTTTCATGTAGGGCTTTCTACTTTTTGCCTGGGCCAACCTAAAACTGAGATCTTGTTTCCTCTGCTTCCTAAGTAGCTGAGACCACAGGTATGAATCACCACAGCTGGCTTGTTTTTGAGATAGGTTCTCGCTAACTCTCATCTGGGCTGGTCTCCAATCTTGGTCCTCCCAATGTTCAGGAATAGTAAGCATGTTCCACCATGCCCAGCTATTTAAAAAAAAAATTAACAAAAAATCAAGTCCAGAGGCTTGCATTAAGAGTTGAGCTTCATGCCAGACTTGAGTAAAAAAAGCTAAGGGACAGTGCGCAGGCCCTGAGTTCAAACCCTATGACCAATACAAAAACAAAAACAAAATACCCACAAAAACAAAACAAAACAAAGAAACCCAAGAGTTGAGCTTGAATAAATCTAGGAAGCCACTTGTTCTGAAGGTCTGGATAGCAGATGGTAGAAGGTGATTAGAAGTGGATATCCCATGTTTTACCCACCTGCCCAAAGCCACTGAAAAAAAAATTTCAGTGGTAGCTGGGCACCGGTGCTCACACCTGTAAGCCTAGCTACTCAGGAGGCTGAGACCTGAGGATCCTGGTTCAAAGCCTGCCCAGGCAGGGAAGTCCGTGAGACTCTTATCTCCAATAAACCACTCAGAAAACCGGAAGTAGCACTGTGGCTCAAGTGGTAGAACACTTGCCTTGAGCTGAAGAGCTGAGGGACAGAGCCCAGGCCCAGAGTTCAAGCTCCACAACTGACAAAAAAAAATAAAAATAAAATTAAAAAATTCAGTGGTATAGGGTAAACTCTGAAATCAGAGTGACAAGCAACATCCTTACCCTTGGAAAGCAAGGACCAAGCTGTCTTGCCATTTCTGGATAGCCAGCCTCTACCATCCCTCGTGAGTTTGGGAGGCGTGTTTTTGGTGGGCCATGTGGCAACACTGCTGCAGATCGCCTTAGCTTGGTGCTCACGGTGGCCTGTGGATCCCAGAGAATGCCTCCCAGCCCTTCAGAGGGAAGGGAGGGGTTAGAGAGGAGGCTCCACCCTGCATTGCCTCTACTTGAATGTTGGCCCTTAGTTCTAGGGGCCCATGGGACCTGGCTGCCCAAACCAGGTCAGAGTGTCAGTGAGGGCCTCCTTTGCCTTGGGCTGAGAACAGCTGCCCATGCTAGAGAAGCAGCTGCTGGTTGAAGATGTCTCTGAGTGCTCAGAGCTGGGCGCTATTCCATTTCCTGAGCATTCCCTGGAGGCTCAAGGTGGCAGAGCTGTGCCCAGCCCCAGTGCCAGGAAGGAGAGGCTCCACGGGGGTGGGGGATGGGAGGGGAAACCCTCTTGTGCAGTTTGTCCAGCCTCTGGAGGGCATCCCCTACTTTCCCTCCCTAGCTTCCATCTCTTGGTACAGACATGGTTTACAAATTCTGCACACCCTTGAGCCCTGAGAGAACACAGGAATGCTCCCGGTGAGAGATCTCAGGATACCGAGACTCAAGCCTAGCCCTGTCCTAAACTGCACTCAGAAACCCTCCCACCAGGCTTCCCCCTCTGGGCCTTGGCCATTCAAGAAGCCTGGTAGTACTTGTGAACTTCTCTTCTGAATGTTCTTCCACCAGAGTTGACTAATGCCTTCTAAACATCTTTCTATTTCCCTCTTCCAAACCTCTAACTGAAAGCCACGCTCAAACTCCTATCCATCCTGACCCACACTGTGGGGACAATGTAACTGAAAGCCACGCTCAAACTCCTATCCATCCTGACCCACACTGTGGGGACAATGTCCTTGATTTCAGGTCTTGCTTTGTGTTCTTTCATCCACCCTTTACACAGCTGCCAGAGGCATGGTCCCAGGTCAGGGGGGGCTCCGACATGGACGTGTACCCTTGGCTGCAAATGGAGTCATGAAACCAGCTCATCTGTGGATTCGTAGCATGTGGTTTTGACTAGGTGTGGTAGAAATCAACAGAAAGAAGTTACTACAGAAGGTATTTCTGAATTTCCATTCGTGCAGTGGACCTGCTTGGGCAGTCCTGAGTTATCCTGAGTTGTGTATAAATCATTGTGTGACCTGTTGAGTGCTTCCTTGCCCTTAATCCTGTGGAAATCTGTTTCTCCAAAGCAAATGGTACCCCCCAAAGCAAGCTCAAAGCGAATGCACTTCATCGAAGGGAAAGAGCGGAAATTGGAGATGTGTTCAAAGCTGACATGTCTGTAACAGAGGTTAGATGGTGTTAAGGGAGAATGAATGGAACATCCACAGTACAGAACTGAACTCTGTGTATCCTGAGCATGCGTGGTTTGTCCTCCATGGAGCATTCTTTGCAGAGTACCAAAGGTCTCTTTGTGGGTACCAAAAGTCCACTGTACTCTGTGCCTCCTGTCGCCTAGACAGTATGAAGTTATGCCTTGTCAGAGCTGGGCCCTTCTGGGCCTCCTTGCCAGCTGGTATGCTGTGCTCCCCTAATAGCATGCTGCCCATCTCTGTGCTTCCAGCTGGCCTCTCTCTCTCTTTCCTAAACAACCCCCATCCATTCACATGGGGCTGCAAAGCTCTTATCATCTTCCTGATGCAGCCCAACTTCCCATAGGCACCTAGCTTCTTCTAGATTTCCCAGCCTAGACAATACTACTAAAAATTTATCCTAGTGCTAAAATAAAATATAAATTATTAATATAAATTATATTTATGAAACATTATATATATGGTATAATAGTGATAATTGGTCCTGGGCTTTACATTGACCAAGTACTACCCCATTAGTTTTCAAGTCTTCATTAGGATCACAATCAGAGAAGTGAAGAAGGCTTACACACATCAATGCATTGAAGAGAACAGATTTGAATACTTGTTAACATCTCTTAGCTTAGAGTGAGCTGGAGATGTAACTGCCGAGGGTCTCAGCAATCCACCTCGACCAAGGTCTTCCACCTATGTGCACGCAAGAGCTGAATATATTACAAGGACTAGGAAAAGGCTCTTGGGAGTGTCCTTGGGTAAGCAGAATAATCAGTCAAGCTAGCTGGAAAAAGAGAAGAGTCTTTGAAAACAGGAGAAGAGAGAACTTAGCAGCTAATGCACAGAACATTAGGACGGCTCCATGGGAAAAAGCACAGAGGGAGCAGGAAGCAAGACCATAGGAAGGAGTATAGGTAGGTCCCACGACTCCAAAAAATGAAGACAGGAAAAAGAAGAACGCAGGGTCCACTTCATTTCTTGCCTCTAAAAATGAAAACAGGTTTTGGAAACAGCCACAAAAAGAAGACTATCCATTCCCACAAAGAACCAGGTTTCTGCTGAATTGTTCCCAGTAAATAATGCCTTCATATTTGTTCAAGATCTTTACTAAGAACTTAAATGATGTACGGATGCACTGAGAGAAAATCCTTTCCACCCCAAGGACAGGTGTTAACCGTGCAGAGAACAATAAGCTCAGCTATGCAGTGTGGGTTTCAAGTTCAGTCATAGATTAAGACCCTTAGAAAGCAATCTGGGGTGACACATGGACTATTACTACTTTCTCTCTCCTAACACCAGGGTGGTTTTCATAGATTTTTTTGTTTGGTACATATTCCAAGGTTTTGATCTGAACACCAGCTCTGCCATTCTCTGCCAGAGATTCTGAATGACAGCACTGGTCTCCAAGATATTTTTCCATTCTAAGTTTCCAATCTGTTTGGGTAAAGGAAAAGCAGAAAATTCCAAGATGGTGCCCCATCAAGCATTTTTGTTTTGTATTTCCAATGACACTGAAGACTCTTCTCACCTTCCCTTGCCCTCTAGCAAATGGCTTTATTCTTTCATCACTTCTGTACCATAAAGTTATTTTGCAAGATTTTCAGGAGCTCTTCTTACTCTCTACTTCACTTCCTTTTGACCTATGACCTCCAACTTTCCGGAGTGGCCTCAGGCTTCAAGAGTTCATTTTCCCAGAGTATATAGTCTTCCACAGTCCACTGGTTCTGAGAGATCTGACCCAGCATTTTACCTTAAAAGTTTCCTTAGAGATGAGAGAAAATATTTACCCAGAAAACTCAAGATAGGATTACCATGGAGTCATTTGAATACATAGCTTAGCTGGGAGACTGGCAAACACTTGGGTTTCACAGCGTTACCATTTTCAACTTGTTCCCCTCTCAAAATGTGAGCCACTCAGAGCACAGAGGAGATCACCCTTACCTTCCTGGGCTTCACTTTATCATGGTAGTCGTACTGGAAGATTCCTTTGTAGCTCAGTCCCAGCCACCATGGTATCCCTTGCTTGTCCTACAATATCCAAAGGAGGGATGGTAAGTAAAAAATTAGAGGAGATAAACATAGATCAAGGGATTTCCTGGCTCAGCTGACGACAAGGGGTGGCTCACTTTCCTTGGGATGGATGGAGCCCACCTGCCTACAGATGTGCCCATTGAGGGCTGAGCTATATAGACACAGTGACGTGGACCAAAACCTGGACTGGAGAATTAGCTCTGAAGCACAGGCTTGGTCTGTCCCCCTCCCTTCTCCTCCTGGAGGTTAGGAGTAAGTGCTCCAGTCCAGTTTTTCCTTCTAAGACTTTAGGCTTTCTGGTTTGGGCCTCTCATGTATCACAAAAGAAAACTTGAAAGATATTGAGCAACCAAAAAAACACAGGAAGGATATTCTGTGCAAAGAACTCACTTGTTAGAGCTAGAGGTACTCGCAGAGACCATGGGGGTCAGTGAGTTGGCCCTGCTTCAAGGTAAGTTAAGCCCTCCCGCTACCCTCAGCCAATGGTAGCATGGGCTGGAAGGAATCACCTCAGATGGGGATGGCTGGGTGCCAGGCAGGATCTTAAAGTTCTTGTCATTGGACAATCCAAAACATTCTCAGGACTGAATTAGAAACACCAAATCCCTCTATTCATTAACAAGGACTCTTGTTAAATGAATACAGATTTATACTAATTCCAGGTCTCTGAATAACCAGATAGACCTCACAGATGATGGGTGTCCTAAAACTTCAGAATTTCTGTGATGGTTTTCAAACATTTATGAAGTATGAGTTATTTCTATGAAGTACGACGATAAATGAGATAAACCTTGAGAAATGATTTGCAGCTTTAAAGGGTATATTATTTTGTGGTTCTAGGATTTGAATTCAAGGCCCGTGCTTGCTAGGCAGATGCTCTACCACCTGAGCCTGGTACAACCCTCACCCCAATTGTTTTGCTTTGCTTTTGTTGGTGCTAAGGATTGAACCCAGAGCCTCATGTACACCAAGCATGTATTGCCCTCCTACCATGCTACAAAATCTGAAACCAAGTATAAAATCTTGGTCCTCAACCACTGTCTCTGTAAGTAGACTGTCTTCTGTACTCATTTCAGGAAATAGAACAAGAGAAAACACAATGCTGCAGGGATGTGTTGTCATTACCCTATGATTGGGCACTCGTGAGGTTGTAAGGCTGCCAATCAGTGAGCTTGTTTCAAATGGGTTATTCTTGTACTCCAGCACTCTTTTCCCAATAAATAGAAGAGCAATTGCTTATGTTTTGCGATTTCAAGAGCTAAACACTTAAAACACTCCTGGGGCCCTTTGAAAAAAATCATAAGCTCTGCTTTTGGTGTTTAACAAATAGAAAACTATTTGTGGAATGCAAAAACCCAAACCAAACCAAACCATATAGGTTAAGAGGCTACATTCTAGAGCCAGACCAAAGATGGAAGCCAGTTTAGAAATCAAAGGGAAGGTTCCTGTGTCTCAAATAGGGCTTTGCTATCCAGAAGATCTTCCACGGGGAACTTTCATGAGGAGGCAAATTTCTCAATCTCTTTTAGTGATAAGAGATAGAATGGAAGGGGCTGGGAATGTGGCTTAGTGGTGGAGTGTTTGCCTAACATACATGAAGTCATGGGTTCAATTCCTCAGTACCACATGAGAGAGAGAGAGAGAGAAAGCGAGCGAGAGAGAGAGAGACAGACAGAGAGAGAGACAGAGAGACAGACAGAGAAAGAGACAGAGAGAGGCAGAGAGAGAGACAGAGAGAGAGAAGGATGAAGGGGGGAGAGAGGGAGAGAGGAAGGAAGGAGAGAGAGAGTGAGAAAGACAGAGACAGAAAGAGAGATAGGTAGAGAGAATAGAAACAACATTCTTCTACTCCCCCAAACATTCCCACAATTCCTCATGGTTTGATTTCTATGAACTGCTTTTAGTACCCCGTCAGGATCACCTGTTAGACCTATGTGGTCCTTTACGGCACCTGGAATCTGGGCTCCACAGTTCTCACTAGCCTATGATTAATCCTGGCAAATTCTGAGCTTCTTTTTACCTAGACTTGAATTTCCTGTTGGGGACATGATTGTTCATTGGTTCCAGTGGCTACATCGCAGGGCACAATGTGGCCAGGGTGAAGCCCACTTTCCTCATTTGGGAAAGAAGAAGGCCAGATCACCCTATTTATTTCCCTGCCTACGAACAGCTTGGGGTGGGTGCGATGGCGGCAATACACTCTGTGAACGATGGCCAAAGAGATTACGAGCTCTCACTGGTGAGAACAACTCTGGTGGGAAATCAAGAAAAATTTAGTCTCATCCAGGCAAGAATTTAAGCTGCTGGATGATACTGGATCCCCATGGGAGGCTGACAGCTCTAGTTCCAACCCTTGTTTTCATTTCATGCAACCCCTTGACTCATTTCCCAATATACAGTCATTCCGTAAATATTTACTGAGCATCTACTATGTGCCAGGTGCCACACTGTGTTCTGGGACTATGGAACAGAATACGAGACAATGTATTCTTTGCCATCAAAAGTCTGCTGTTTAGCACTCTGCGACATAGGCGATTCAGCGCATGCCAGTGGTACACAAAATACTCCATGAGCTGTCACGGAGGAGACAGAATGAAAGCAACAGGTGCACGTTTCAGTCTAAAGAAATTAAGAAGCAAACTGAAAGGAAACGAAACAATACTTGGAATAGTTGGATGGCAAATGTATCTTGAGTTCAGAGAATTTTCTGCTCTTTTTGGCTGGAATTTGGGCAATGGCTTCCTTAATCTTTATATTGAGGGGCAAATGAAGTCAGAACAAGGGAAATTTTCCTTCTTTTTTGTGGGGGGAGGGGAGGTTCTTTTTTTTTTTTTTTTCAGGCCTGGGGCTTGAACTCAGGGCCAAGGCACTGTCCTTAGCTTCTTTTGCTCAAAGTTAGCACTCTACCACTTGAGCCACAGCGCCACTTCCAGCTTTTTCTGTTTATGTGGTATTGAGGAATCAAACCCAAGGCTTCATGCATGCTAGGCAAGCACTCTACCACTAAGTCACATTCCCAGACTGTTGGCTTTGTTTTCTTCTGAGATCAGGACTGGGGCTCAGTATCTGTCACTTTTTCATTCCCTGGCTGTCACTTTACCACTCTGAAACTTTCCTTCTTGTGAGATCACAGAGGTATACTTTAAAGGATAAATCTTACACTGGTACACTATGCATGAAATTAAAGAGAATTTAGAATTAAAAGCCCAATTTCACATTGGACTTGCAATTACAATATGTAAAAACATAGCTCCCATCCTCTTTTTCCCCTCCCTCTCTCCCTTTCTTCCTTCCTTTCTGGAAGTACTGGGATTTGAACTCAAGGCCTTGTGCTTTCTAGGCTGGTGCTCTACCATTTGAGCCATGCTTCCTGCCCTGTTTTTGGCTGGTCATTTTTGAGATAGAGTCTTGTGAGCTTTTCTGCCTAATCTTGAGTCTAGCTCCCTCTACCCTTAGCTCTTGGATAGCTAGAATAATAGGCATGAAGCACTGGCACCTGACCTCACTGGCAGTCATTCTTCTTGCACAAGTGTGTGCCTAAGCTGCAATCTGTCTGTTTTAGGTTTCTCTTGGATGCTGGGATCACAGGTGTGCTCTGCTGCTTCCAGCTTCTCTCTGTGTAGATGGAGTCTTGTGGACTTTTCTGCCTGGACAGGCCTAGAACCATAGTATTCCCACTCTCAGTCTCTCATGTAGCTTTGGGTGTGCCCAGCTACGGATTGAATAGGGCGCCTCGCAACTTCTTTCTGGCTACCTTTAGACCTCAATCCTCCCAACCTCAGCTTCCCTAGTAGCTAGAATTACAGGTGTGAGCGTCTGTAGATGCTTAAATAGTCATGTATTCAATCTGTCAGCCTGTTCTCCTCTTGAAGTTACATACATGAACTGGGCCACCAGAGAAGTACTATATTCTGCTGGAAGGTTCTGTTCTACAGTTTCCTATATTGCCCAGAGTCTTTCTACCAAGATACTCCAGAGTCCCAATCTCCCAGGGTTCCTCTGAGACTGAAAGCATGTAGGGATTTATTCTACTATTTCACAAAAGAAAGCACTGAGTTTCAGTATGTGACTGTATCAAGTGTCAGTACCTGAGGGGAAATTCAGTTGCTCCATCTCCCTAGCATGCATTCTTCCTGACCAGCTTGTGCTTACTCTTTTTTTTTTTGGTCAGTTGTAGGGCTTGAACTCAGAGCCTAGGCACTGTCCCTGAGCTTCTTCGCTCAAGGCTAGCTCTCTACCACTTTGAGTCACAGCACCATTTCTGGTTTTCTGGTGGTTAACTGGGGATAAGAATCTTATGGACTTTCCTTCCTGGGCTGGCTACAAACCACGATCTTCAGATCTCAGTCTCCTAAATAGCTAGGATTACAAGTGTGAGCCATCAGTGCTTGGCTTCTTAATCCTTGTTTAAAAAGGAGGAAAAACAGGGCTGGGAATGTGGCTTAGTGGCAGAGTATTTGCATAGCATGCATGAAGCCCTGGGTTCGAATCCTCAGTAGCACATAAACAGAAAAAGTCGGAAGTGGTGCAGTGGCTCAAGTGGTAGAGTGCTAGCCTTGAGCAAAAGACAGCTCAGGGACAGAGCCTTGGCCCTGAGATCAAGCACCAGGATTGGCAAAAAAGGAAAAAAAAAGGTGAAAAAAAACCCTTCATAATTGTGTTGTTGTATTGTTTAGTCATTCTCCCCCACCCCCCGCCGCTTCAGTCCTGGGGCTTGAACTCTGGACCACCGGGGTGCTGTTCCCTGCGTTCTTCAGTTCAAGGTGGGTGCTCTACTGCTTGAGCCTCACCACCACTTCCGGTTTTCTGGTGGTTAATTGGTTAAGAGTCTCAAGGACTTTTCTGCCAGGGCTGGCTTTGAACTGCAATCCTCAGATCTCAGCCTCCTGAGTAGCTAGGATTCCAGGCATGAGCCACTTACACCCGGCTATACTGTTTAGTCTTTTAAGGCAGGAGGTCACTTTCCAAGTGAGTTCGCTTACCTTCACAGCATAATAATGAACCCCATAGGTCGGGAGAGACTCCACGATGCTCATGTAGCTGTAGACAACACACAACATACACACAAACAATGCACACAAGGCTGGTTATTTCAGCAGAACTGGTACCAGAGACATGCTATTTTTATTCTTATTCTTTTGTATGTGTGATCAAGTTCTGGAGGGTGATTTATTTGCAAAATTGTTGAAAAACTCCCTTTCCCCAGATAGTTGTTTTCTAAGCAGAAGAGAACAACCTTACATATGATCTCTTTCACACACATACACACATACACACACATATACACACTCACACATATTCTTCATAAGTGTTGGGAAGGACCACTTACTTCACAATTGCTTGACCTCTCGTCTGTCCATTCAGTTTCTTGTAGTGCTCAATGACTCTGTCTTCACTGGAATCAAAAGAAAAGAATTCTGTTAGTAGAGGCCAAACATCCTGCTGACTGAGATGCTTCCAAGCATCTACTAAGCTTGATGGATCCAATCAAAAGCTCCATGGAACAATCCACTCTGGGAAAAAGATTTGTCTTCAAACAGCCTAAGTGAAATCTTTGGGCTATGGACTCTCTCTTTTTTTCTCTCTCTTCCTCCCCTTTCTTCTTCCTTCACCCACTTTTCTTCCCTCCTTTTCTTGTCTTTTTTGTCTGTCCTAGTGCTTGAACTCAGGGCCTAGGCACTGTCCCTGAGCTTTTGTGTTCAAGGCTAGTGTTCTACCATTTGAGCCACAGCTCCACTTCTGGCTTTTTGATGGTAATTGAAGGGTCTCACAGACTTTACTGTCCAGGCTGCCCTTGAACTGTGATCTTCAGATCTCAGCCTCCTGAGTAGCTAGTATTACAGACGTGAGCCATCAGTGCCTGCCCAGCTATACATTTTCTGAGTGGGGTTCTAGGCTGGTTTTTCCCCTCAGAGAACCCACACTCTCTAGAGAGCGTTATTTTGGACTTCTAGGAGAGAAGAAGCTATAAGTAGAGGCTACAGGACAACACCTTGCTTAAATTTCTTTGTTCCCCTTCTATGCTACATGGACTCCAGCCTGAGGTGGAGGAGCGGTTGACTCTAATCAGTGTTCACGACCCCACTTTTCTGAAGAGTCTGAGATTTGGTGTTTCCAAGGAGGAAGGAAAGTTCTGTCATTTGGGCCTGGTTAACAAAAGCCTAAGGGAAACCATAAACCAGCTACCAGGATGAGATGGCAGTACCTTTACCTCTTGAAATCTTAGTTCTAAAGCAACTAGAGATTATTAGCTGGTTCTTCGATGTCAATGGCTAGTCAGGCAGATAAGAGGCAGTGGAGGGCAACCTGTGTACTGCCTTCTTGGAGAAGTGAGCTGGGAACAATGGCTGCTCCCACTGCTGCTTGGGAATCATGGGGACTGGGGGACAGGTGCAGACTGGAGACCTCAGGTCCCACCCCAAACCACTGCCTCCATGAGGCCTGGCCAAATGGTCTTTCTTCAACTATAGCCAAAGGGATCCTTTCAATCACCCAGAAAAGCTCCAAGATGGGAGTGGTGTTGCTCCTAGATGCATTCCTTTAAGATGCCATTTGTTCACCCATATTATCTATGATGAGTGGGTGTGAAGTCTTCTTTCCTTCAGTTAGATCTGTTTTTCCTTTCTAGCTCTGTCATCTTCGGGGTGAACTCTTTCTATATGCTCCTGGAGTCATCCTTGAGGGAAACCGGTTTCTCTTTCAATTACAACCTTCATCTTCAATGATGACTGCATTTCAGTGTCCTGAGATTTGATGCAGGACGGTTAGAACTCCTCACCAGGAAAGGTTCCTCTAGGTTCCCAGGATGGATGCTGGCTCACTACGAGGAGATACCTTTTTCTACCTGGGAATTGTGGGGAGCCGGGGCGAACGCCATTACAAGATGGCACCCACTTCCTTGCAGTTTTGAGGTAAACAACTCCATATTAGGCAGTGCTTGGCGGGACTGTGGGTCCCGGGCTTTGCGCATGCGCGAGCCACGTAGAGTCCCCAGCCAATCCCGTGGCACCTGGTGACGGTGAAAGGCAGACGACCAATGATAGAACTACCTGTGTTCCTATTCCCTATATAAGAGGCCACATTTTCGTGTACGGGGTCTCTCGCTCAAGCTCTCCCATCAATTCAAAAGCTCTCCAATAAAGTGTGATCTGAGAAGACTCCTGGTGTGGTGGTCGTCCTTCCTTGCTGGTCGAGAGGGTGTTCGCCGCAGGGAATGCTCACTTCCGTGGACCTGCTGTTCAGGAAGGGACAGCTATACATCCCTGCAGCTCCTACACTGGAAATGTGACAGAGTTCGCTTCCAGCACACAATCCTGGAGGGACATTTTCTCTCGGGGGAACCCCAGCCACAGTACACCTTCCGGAGTTGTTTCAGGAACTTCCAGGGTTGCTCTTCTGGTCTCCTCCTTACCCATCTGATACACCAACATGTGACCTGGGATTTGGTGAGGTCAAGCAACTCAGTGTGAATACAAGCTTTTCTTTCTTTTCTGGCTATGGGGAAGAAGGTGTCTGAAGGGGAGGTAGGGTGATGAGTCAAGGCAGTGGGGTAGCGGTTGAACTTAAGGCTCAGGAAAACATCGTGAGAGAATGTCTGCAATATTGTCAGGTGTCTGTTCCTCTGCTTACAGCAACATAGCCTGACCACAGGCTTCCACAGTGTGACTTCCTCTGGCCTCTGCTTTCCTGGCTCTTCTCTTCTATCTATGGGGGAGGCACATGCATCTCACCATTTGAGAGCCTGAGGCAGGAGTTCTAGGACAGCCCAAGCTAAGTAGTTGAGACTCTCAAGAAACACTGTGGGTTTACCATGTGATAACATACATGATGCTGACGAGGGACTAATCCCACTCCCTGCTTGTCTCCCCCTACCCCTGCCCCACACTACCCCCTGCCCTCAGCCCTGCAACTTCTTCTGCAAACTATATTGGAAACTGTATCCAATTTAGTGGATCTGTGGTAAGGGTTCCATGGACCAACCATGAGAAACACATGAACCACGGTGAACCAAACCTCAAAGCATTTGTCTGAAGGGCAGTGTGACACCCAGGATCCAGGTTGAATGAACCCTGGCCAAGGGCTGGGCCGTGATGTGAAATCATCTCTCTACAGCCAAGGGGATGCTGGAAACCACAGGTAGTGGGAAGGGAAATAGGAATGGTGACATGGCTCTTGATTTTGGAGGAGCTGTCAGCCTCTACCAGTCAGGGTTTTGGTCAGGAATGACATCCTTGTAGGCAGGTGGTAGGGGTGACTGGCCCAGGAGAGAGAATGGAGGCCAGGACTTTGATCTTGCTTTGTTCTGTGGCTCCAGGCTTATCACTGTGGCTTTCAGTGTCAGTCATCTCCTCTGGAGAATCATGTGGTCTATTAAACACCTGGTAATGAGTGCAGGATGGCTCAGCATTATTGTCTTTGTACTGCTTTCCAGTGACAGACGGGGGCTTATCTCCTCTCTTAATTGGAGTCTGAAGTGAACTGATGTGGTTATCCCCCACGTCCATTTTTATCTTTTATTATTTTTTCAAATTGTTTTGGTGGGTAATTAAGAGATAAGAGTATCTTGGATTTGTCTGCCTGGGCTGGCTCTAAGCCAAGATCCTCAGAGCTCAGTCTCCTGAGTAGCTAGGGTGACAGGCATAAGCCACTAGTACCTGACTCCATTGGGAGATTTTTTTTTTTTGGTACCTTTTAGATGGCCCATGCTATGGATTCACCTGCTCTATGCAGATGGCTTTTTGTCCTACTATACTCTCAGTGCATATAGATCATGGTGCTGGTGGGTCTGAATGAGACCCAGGAGAAATGCTAGCCTGGTCATCAAGGGAAGGGACATACTATCAAGACAGTATAGGTCTAGCTACAAAGCTGTTCATGTTGACAAAAACAGATGCATGCGCCTGAAGGAAGGTCTTTCTGTGTTACAATAATTTGCACAGAGCAGCTGGTATAGACAGTGGAAGAAAAACCCCTGAGCCCTGAGGGTGAGCAAACAAGAGGCGTTGATAGCTCTGAAATGTGTATCAGAGTTTAATAGTGTTGAGGATGGAGGGAGAGATGAAGCCAAGGGTACTTCTGACTCCAGACAATGCAACATTATAGCTCTCCAGTCTCCTTTTTCCAGTCTCCTTCATGTATCCCTATGTCCTTCACCACTGGGTTCCAGAAGATAAGGCCCATGGAACATGGGCAGTTGGGAGGAAGGCCAGAGGGTTTCATAAACAAAGAAACAGAATGTCATTATGTTGGGAGCTCTCACGACCAGACTGCAAAGATTGGAAGTTTGGACACATTATGCACTTGCAGATTAAACAGACTCTGTTCTTTCGGAACAGATAATAATGCTCGAAAACTGTTACCTAAAATCACTTGGTAGAGGATGGATGGAACTGGAGATCACCATGTTAAGGGAACTATATGAATCCCACATAGCCAAGTATCATATTTGTGGAGACTAGGGGACAAGAGTACAAAGCAACCAAGGTCACAAAAGTATGTTAGGGAGGTGGAAGGGGAAGAGAAAAAAGGAGAGGGAAGAGGGGTAAGAAAATAATAGACGGGTTGAATAGGATCAATGTACATCATACGCAGGTATGGAAATGCTATGCTGAAACCATTACTATGTACAAAACAACATATGCCAATAAAAAAGAAGGTTGAGCTGCTATTTATTCACATCTGTGTTTCCAGAGGAAGAGTGATGGGTCATTCAGAACTGCAGCTAGAGGTACCAGCACACCGATGGAAGCTGGCAGCCTTAGGCAGGGAACCCAGCTCTTGGTGAATCTGATCTCTCAGAAAGAACTGATTGTAGAGCTAGAGTTTAATCTCGCCCATGAACTCTGCATCAAGGCGTGGTGTATCCTAGCAGAGGAAACTGTTAAAGCTAGCTGAGCAGAAGTGTCCAGATGAGACGAAACTCTAGTGATCCAAATATTTCAGAACAAGCAGGCAGAGGTGCTTGCTGAGTGACATGTTGTATCTTATTACAATGAACTTGTGTGGGGTTTGTTTCTGGGATTATAGGCATCTGGCTGTGATTGTTTTACTTAGGTTTTATCTTCTGAGCAGTTACATGGATTTCCATGAAGGGGTCAGAAGGAACACTGGGAAAGCAGTCCTGTCCTGGTTAGAAGGCAGTGGTCAGTCCTGATGTGCCCAGCAGGATTGCATCACACTGCCCAGAAATCTGAGCCCTGGGCCACTGTGGCTGAGGCCACAATCTGGAACTTTCCAAATGTCTGAATCACTTAGTAATTCAGGGATCCAGAGATGGAATAACGTCCCAAAGGAAGAAAGTCAGGAGATACGGAACACCAGTGAGAAAGAAAAGAATCAATTTCTCTCTTGTTGGCAAAGAAAAAAACACTCCCTACATTGCTCCCCACACCTCTTCCTGTCACTGAATGACAGAATTCCCACGTGGAGCTCTACCAGCACAGGGAAAGTTCTCAAGCAGGCAAAGCTTCCATTGTTTTTTTTAAGGAGTATTCTTCCACACAACATTACCACTTAAAAACAAACAAACAAACAACCAAAAATGATCTCAGAAGACATAGTGGAGCTGGCGAGAGCCATGAAAGCCAGTACTGTGTAGGTCCCACCAGCACCCAGTGCACTTCCTGGGGATAGGGGGTTGCTGGGAGATTCTGAGGGGTCTTACCAGTAGGCCAGAGACGGGTGCTCCTTCAGGGCTTGGGTGGGCAGGGCTGGCAGCTTCTTCAGGTCACTCCTCACCACTTCATTGCTGAGAGAGAGAAGACCAAGAAACTTACTCACCCTCAGAAAAAATAACCACATGACTTAACACGGCCTGGCCTGGTGACCTCATCTGAGGTCCTGAGGCCTGCTGCCTTTCGTCAGAAGAGGCAGGAAAGAGAGCCTATCTTTATTAATAGTTTATTAAATTTATTAATATCTTATTTATTAATATAGATGGAGAAGAACGTATGTCACAGAGCCCAGAGGCCTCCTCTCCCAGCTCCAGCCCAGTGCTAGGACCACCCAAGGCACTGTGTCTCAACTCTCTGTCAGATCGAGGGACCCTGAACAGCCACTGGCATGAATCCAGGGAGGCGTGGGGTCCCCAGGGTCCTGCAGTTGGGCTGGCAGGCCCCCAGGAACGGGCAATATCACCACGGGCCCCTGACCACTGTGGGGCCTCCCTAATGCTCAACGCTGGGTTTCTTTGTTTCATTTTTACCACACATTGGAAATGTCTCGCTCGAAGATGTAAGTCAATAATCTTGGCTTTTTGACAAGGCTTGGAAATGACTGAGAGCGCATGAAGTGGTGTCTGCTACGAATGGGAAGTTTTGTACACAGACTCAAGTGGGCTCAGGTTTGGGAGGTCACCGCCCTCCACCCCTCTCTTCCCCAGCAAAACTAAGGAAACCAGATTTAAGTTGGCAATGTAGCTGAATGATAGTGCCTAGTATGCACAGCCACTAGGTTTGATTCCTCAGCACTGCAAAGCCAAAGCAAATAAAAACAGCAACAAAACAGCAGCAAAACAAAAGTTTCCCCCTAGTTTTTTTTTCTTGTTTTTTTTTTTTTTTTTTTTGCCAGTCCTGGGCTTGAACTCAGGGCCAGGGCACTGTCCCTGAGCTTCTTTTGCTCAAGGCTAGCACATTTCTGCCACAGCGCCATTTCTGACTTTTGGTGTATGTAGTACTGAGGAATCTGACTCAGGGCTTCATGCATGCTAGGCAAGCACTCTACCACTAAGCCACAGTCCCAGCCTTCCCCTATTTTAATCAGTATTCTTCTGATGTTCAGCTCAGCCACTTGATACATCCCTTCAGGACTGGGCTGTTTAGAACCACCAGTGGCATCCACTTGAGGGTGGCTGTGGTATCTCTGTTTGCCTATCCAAAAGCCCAGGATGCCAAGCTGGGGATGCCAAGGCTCAACTCCAGCCCTGCTTGTCATCTGTAGCTCTAGCCTGGGCCGTCAGCAGTGATTATGTTGCACAAGGCAAGCAAGGGCAGATAGATATTGGCTACTGGACACTAGGCTGTGTCTTTTAGAAATTAATGGAAAAATATGAAGGAAGAAGGGAGGAAGGAAGAAAACAAGGAAGGGAGAGAGGGAGAAAAGGAGAGTGGGAAGGAAGGAATGAGGGATGGAGGGAATAAGGAAAAAAAGAGGAGGAGGAGAGAAAAAGGAAGAAAGAAAACCTTTCTTGGAGAAAATCATGCCAATAGTTCCAAGTGGTCATAAGGAATTACCTGCATGTTTGGTACCATTGTCACTGCTTCTAGAAAGGGAATTTTCTTGTGTGAAAAAAAATAATATACCGGGCGCCGGTGGCTCATGCCTATAATCCTATCTACTCAGGAGGCTGAGATGTGAGGATCGCGGTTCAAAGCCAGCCCAGGCAGGAACATCTGTGAGACTCTTATCTCCAATAAACCACTAGAAAACCGGAAGTGGTGTTGTGGCTCAAGTGGTAGAGCGCTCGCCTTGAGCTGAAGAGATGAGAGACAGCGCCCAAGACCAGAGTTCAAGCCCCGCGACCGACCAAAAAAAAAAAAAAATATATATATGTATATTTAAGGTCTTGCTTTGTATCCCAGGATCAACCTATGTTTCCTCTGCCTCAGCTTCCCAAGTTCTGGAATGACAATGGTGTAATCCCATGTTGGGTAAGCTTTTACCTTTTGAGGGGAGGGTTGTTGTTGAGGTTTGAACTCATGCCCTTGTCCTTGCTAAGCAAGTGATCTACCACCTGAACAATGTCCCCAAAGCTTTTGCTTTTGTTATTTTTCTAAGAGGGTCTTGGTTGGCCTGAACTTCCATCCTCACATTTATGCTTCTCATGTAGTTGTGATGATAGGTACTTCTTATTGGTTCAAATGGGGGAGGGGTTAACCAAGCCAGCCTCCAGTTACAATCCTCTCAACTTCAGCCTCCTAAGGAGCTAGGATGACATATATAAGCCACTGAGCCCAGCTGAAAGAGTATTTTTCAAATGCACTATGGCTGGTGATGTTTGAACAACCAAACAGAAGGAAAAGCTCAACTTATAATCGAATCAAACTATACAAGTACTTGGGATTTTTATAATCTAACTGGCAAGGGAGATTAGAATCAATTAGCTGTACAGCTTTCATTTTGACACGTCGGTAGAGGCACGCAATGCGCCTTGATCAGATTCACCCTTTCCATCATTCGCCTTCATCCCTTTCCCAAACCAATCAACAAACTCCACTGTTCTGTGTTTGTACCTGTACATAAAGTCAGCTGACCATATTCACACTCTTTCACCATTCTGTTTTCCATCTCTCTTTCCACTAGGGCCCTAATTCCAGACAGGATCTGTTTGACATTCTTATCCTTCATTCTTACTAGTGTGTGCTAATTGTTCAAAGAGGTTTCACTGTGGTATTTTACACATGCACCTACAATTCAGCATCTGAATCAGATTGACCCTTCTCTTCATCTTCCTCCCCCATCCTCATTATCCCCCTCAATTCCATAGCTTTCAGTGAATTTCACCATGCCACTTTCATTCCCAGCACGGTGGATTTGGCCTTGTTCATCCTCCAACATCTCTTCATGGTCAACAAGGTGAGGGCATTCACAGAGTCCATTCTGTCATATGGAAAGTATGGTGGGGCCTACAGAGAGATGCACACGGTCCTTATCTAAAAGGCAACTCAGGATGAAGCTGAGGAGTACAAGAGTTATCTAGCAGAGACAACTGACTCTGTGGGTAATGTCTGATCATGTTAAATCAACTTGGAAAGTTCAGAGGAAATAAAGGCCCTTTGGGGTTCTGGTAAAAAGCACATTAGAGGAAGAATCTGCATGAAGCAAAGGATAGGGCTATCCACCCATCATCTATCTACCCATCCATCCATCCATCATCTATCTACCCACCCACCCAACCATCCATCATCTATCTACCCACCCATCCATTATCTATCCATCCATCCATCTATATATTGTCTATATACCATCCATCTATTCATTCATTCATCTATCCATCCATTATCTATCTGTCACCTCTCTCTCTCCCCCCCTTCTTCTATCAGTTTTCTCCTCAGGGGAACACAGCTGAGTGGAGGAGGCCATATAACTTGAAATATAGCTATGAAACAGGAGCAGCTGGTGGGTAAAGAACAATATGGCTGGGCTGGGAAGGTGGCTCAGTGGCAGAGCGCTTGCCTTGCATGCATGAGGCCCTGGGTTCGATTCCTCAGCACCACATAAGCAGAAAAAGCTGGAAGTGGCGCTGTGGCTCAAGTGGTAGAGCGCTAGCCTTGAGCTGAAGAGCTGAGGGACAGCACCCAGGCCCACAGTTCAGGCCCCACATCCAGCAAAAAAAAAAACAAAAAACCAATATGGCTGGAAAGTCAGGCTAGGCATAGAATTCTAAGAATCTTCAGTGCCAGTCTAGAAGGGTTCAAGGTGCGCCAGAAGGAAGCAGAAGATGCTCTGAAGGGTTCCACACAGGGTCCCTAGTGCTTAGGGATTCTCAGGAATAGTTTGACACTTCTACCTGCATGCTAGTAAGACATTACTTAGACAAATGCTCAGTTGGGCAAATACTCAGAAGCCCACAGTCATGAACTTCTGGGTCCTTTCTAGCCATATTAGTGCCAAAGATGACACCTTAAAGATCAAAAGACACTTCAATCAGATAAATTGATTGGCTGAAACTGTGGGGGAAGCAATCCAGAAAGGAGCTAAACCTTGACTGTGGCTCTCCCTGCACCAGCACATCTAGAGTGTATTTGGGAAGGAAGGAGTCACTTTACCTGCCAACCACTCATTTGTTGGCAAACAACTTTCCCCACTGCTAGCCACAGGCTAGACTTCCTCACAGAAGCTTTCTGGAGAATTCTGTTCTTCCTCCAGGGCAGGGTTACACCCAACAAACAAACAACAAAAACCTGCAACAAGAAATCATCAGGGCTTGAAGCCCATTGAAATCCATTCCATTCTGGAAAGGATCCATGACTCCTAATCTGTCCCAGAGGATGAGTGAAAAGAAATGTTCTATTTGCCTTCTGCTGTTTGTAAACATCTGCAGTGACTTAGTCAATCTAGCCCAACTCTGCAGCTCAAGATCAGAAAGCTGCCCTCATGGGAGAGATGGATCACTCTATCTTCCAAAACTTGTGAGACTGTAGCTTAGTGAATATGCTAGAAGTTTCCAGCTCCATTGCTCAGTGATTTTCACTTTGCTAGTATCCCCAGAGTCCAGGGCACCTGGCAAAATGCCAACTTAAAACATACCGTAAGGGTTGGGACAAGGTTCAAATGGTAGAGCACTTGCTTAGCAAGTGCAAGGTTCTGAGTTCAAACCCCACTAGTGCCAATATATATCTCACATATAGTTTATATTATAATAAAATTTATTAAAAATACCTTAGCCATGGTCTACTTTGAGTAAAACACACACACCAAACGGTTTCTTAGAGAACCAATTCCTAGACTGACAATATAATTCAAGTCTTTTGCCATACTGGTGATTCAACCCAGAGCCTAATATATGCCAGGAATGTGTGCTACTACTCGAACCATGACCAACCTTTTACTAATGCTTTGTTTTTGAGACAGAGTCTTGCTACCTTTGCAAAATTGGTTTCAAACTCATTAAGCTTCTACTTCTGCCTCCTGAGTAGCTGAGATTAAAGACAGTACCACCATACATAGTGAAGTCTTTTAAAAAAATATTAACCAGATTTTACTAAAATGTTTTAGTTATTAATATTATCAGCATAAAACAAGTTTGTC